GCCCCCGAGTCTGGTGATGGTTCTGCGCCGGCCCCCGAGTCTGGTGATGGTTCTGCGCCGGCCCCCGAATCCGGTGATGGCTCAGCGCCGGCCGCTTCTGGTGACGATGAACCGGAAACCCCGGCTTCTGGCGATGGCTCTGCTCCTGCTCCTGCACCTGCGTCCGGTGACGGCTCTGCGCCGGCCGCTTCTGGCGATGAAGAGCCCGAAGCCCCCGCTGCGTCCGGTGCCGAGGAGACTCAAGCACCCGCCGCTTCTGGAGCTGAGGAGACTGAACCACCGGCCGCACCCACATCTTAGATCGGAAATCGAGTTCTTTATCTCTGTGCATATCAGGCGTACATCGGCGTGGTCTCCGATCATAAGAGCGAGGCAATAAAGCATGTTTGTAGATGAAACCTATAGCCTACATTTTGCACCAAGCACTTACCCTCACGCACTCGTACTTACTCGTCGGAGCGATTCAGTCAACGTCGCCTTGCGTGAGGTCGTCAGTAAAGCTCCAGGTGCAGTCAGGTCCTGTAACAAGCGCCAAAGTTCCTTCGCTGTCGGTCGCTCCTCCGGGTCATAGCTTAAACACATCCGCGCCAGGTCGAGAATCGCTCGCGGACAATCCGAATGGAACGCTGGCATCACTCCTTTCTCGCTCACAGCCAACGCCAGTGTGGCGTTAGATGACAATAAACTTTTGACTTCTTCATCATTTAAAGACGTGAACGACGTCATCCCCGAAGCAGAATGTGAGTTAGCAACGCCCAAAGCGTACGGCCTTGAACAGGTATCCAGCTCACACATCACCACGCCGAAGAAATAGATGTCCGCCTTCTGGTCGTACCGGGCGCCTTTGATCACTTCAGGTGCAATCCACGCAGCAGTCCCCACCTCCGCCGTCTGAGGTCCACCAGAAGACACGCCCCGCTGTTCATTGCGCTGCTTGCGTCTCTTACTGACTCCAAAGTCGCTGATTTTGGCCACCCATTTGTTACTGAGTAAAATGTTCTGAGCCTTCAGGTCGCGATGCATTATGGGCTCTGCGAACGAGTGCAGATACACCAGAGCATCAGCAACGTCCAGAGCCACCGTCAACTTGCTGTGTTTAAAACCAGAGTCCTCGTCGGTCGACCAGCTCCATCCTCGACGTTGACTGTCCAGCATCTGCTGTCTCTCTAAAAACTGCGCCAGATCTCCATTGGGCATGTACTCGAGCACGAGTGACAAGTCAGCCAGGGAGGACCAGGCGATGCCTCGGAACGTTACGATCTTGGGGTGTTTTAAACTGCCATACAGACGGATTTCCCGGGTAAAACGCTGCAGTTCGCGGACACTTTTGGATTTCTCGGGGGACACACGCTTTACCACGACTTGTTCGTTCTTTGGTTTCCACTTTGCGAGGTGCACAACGCCACCAGCTCCTTTGGACAATTGCTTTATAACCTCGAGGTCGTGTTGAGGGATACGGTAGCGCTCAAAGTCGGGATCGCTGCGAACGTCATCGGTTAGAATAGCGGAACTCATCTTCATCTTGTCGCTCTCTTCGTCTTCGCTGCTTCCGTCATTCGTTGGGTGCTCAGTCTCGAGTTTCTCAGCACGCGCTGCCTTCGCTCGACGCTCATCAATAATCTTTCGCTTAATAGCGAAGAGCATCAACAGAATGAAGACTGCGGACGCGACGGAGAACAGCAGCAATAGCAGCGTGGTGAGAGAGGTGGACGAGGAGACTTTACGGGCTCGATACTTGTCGTCGAAAGTGGCATCTGGCACCACACAGGTACAAGTTACACGTCTAGATCCTGTGGTAATTCTCCAAGATTCGTACCTGTCAGTACGCAGAGAGAGTAGCTGGAGTTCGCTATCATTATTGGTGTCTGGATGGCACCATGTGAGCACGAGTCATCGGATAGACTGAGAGAAGTGACGTTGAAGGCCTGAAGCTGCTCAAGAACCTGCACATCGGACTTGCACACTTCGAATTGTGTCACTCTACTCCCGTTAAGAAATCTAGGCGCACAAAAACTCGTTAGTATGACCCAAAGAACGAATTCGAAGCACATGAGGACTTAGCACCTACAAGGTGCGGAGGTTGGGTGGGAATTTCACTCCTTGAATTGTAGTGATGCTGTTTCCTGAAAAATCCCTATATTGCATAAAAAAATGTTAGAAATAGAGTTCGGTTCCATAATAATTGTTGCCGTCCTCTTACATTGTAAATGACCGGTCGCACGCACTGAAATTCGCTGGTCCAAGTCGCTCAATCGAGCTGTCCTGTACCATCCTGCCATCATTAAACCACATCGTCATTATGTTAACTAAACATGACTCTCGCTTGTCAACGTACAGGTCGGACAAGTCCGTCGGCGGTGTAAAGTTCCCCCAGTTTGCAATAGGCGTCGATGACACGTCACTTAACAGAAGTCAGAACATGAACACCGCTGCAAAGTCAGCAATGCTGCAAACTCCAACAAGAATAGAGAATGACCAGCACACCTACAGTTGTCGCAGCGTTGCTGGGAACACGGCGTCTTCCATTGAGCTGAGCCAGGTGTTCCTTGCGATGAGAATTCTCGGTCCATCATTCCCCTCCGTCGTAAAGTTGGCGATAGGATTATCCGACACGTC